AATCGATTTTGTAACTTTAATGAACAGTCACAGGTTTCACAAGGTCTTCGCACGATCACGGTCAAAGGCTAACTTACATCAGATTGCTTCGGATTGACAACTTATTGGGTGTGTACTTTCCGGTTAATTGACATATTTCCGTAGCCAACGATTACTTAATAGCGTGGTGTGTGCTCCAGTCCCGACAGCATATCACAATGTTTTGCACGATCTAACAGATGTTATAAACACAATCGCGAGTTTTGCACGATCTAACAGAAGTCATTAATCCAATCGATCGCGAGTTTTTCAAGACATGGACAGGAGTCACAAACCTATTTTTCTCAATTGCTGTAATTTGGAGAAAATGGACCAGAAGAAATGATCAGTTACATCGCGAAGAATACCTGGACATCATTAATTATTCATCAACACTGAAGCGGGAGATTTGAATGCACTCGCGCCTTGAAAAGCCCATAATTAGAGAAGAAAGGGCCGAAACTAGCGCAGCATTGTTGATAAAATTCGCTTTTTCAATTGCCAGAAGCAATAAGTGGAAACCCAAGAGCGAGTTTTGAAGAAGAAGGGTTAATCTTAGATTTAAGCTTAAAAAGAAGAAGTTTGAGAAAGTATAAGGACTATTCCTGAGCCTTTGAAAATGACGAAAAAACGGACATTTTTAGTATGAGTGCCGATTTCAAAAGCGATTTTCCAAAAACTCAAACCGGCTTCCAAAAAACCTAAGAGCGGGAAATGGAAGATGGATCTTTTCTGAAACAGAACCCGTTTTAACTTGGAAAATTGGTGAACGACAACCACAATTTTTCGCACTTTTAAAATTACTAGTCGCGCAAAATTTAACTATTGGTTGAGCGGGGCCAACTACACCGAACTACAACAAACTCTAAGTATGGAAATAAGTAAAGCAAACAGTTGATTTAAACTTAATGAAATGCAACCCAACATCAAAAAATAGCAAGAAAGATCAAGTCGTGTGGCATCACTAACAACTCATGTTGAAAGAAAAATTTTGAAATTGAAGCAATTTAGAATTCTTTGAGGAGTTATTCCTCTTTTTTTTAAATCAATGTTGAATAGAATTATTTTTGTTAATGCTGCTTTAACTAATTTATGTCAAAGAAGCATGAAGTAAGGAGCACACTGCAGAAGCAAAAACTTTTATTTACTGAATTTGTTGATCTACTCCACTTGGGAATAACTTTTTTGTGTGAAAATTGTCATGAGGTAAGGCTTCCATCAGGAAAGATGGAACTTTTTGCTGACAGTAAAACTTGTAAACTGTTGCTACAACAGTTTCCCAAAACTTATCATTAAAATTAATTGTAACAATAAATATCCCTTTACTTTTATTGGTAACAAAATGGCAAGTTTTTAAACCTGAAATTGCCATGCTAGTCTGAACTTGAAAATGATGTAGATGATTTTTGTCAAGAAAAAAAATTCCCATTTTCATCTTTTTTTCCACTAACAGTTGGTAGCAAGAAGGCAATTTTAGGGTCAAGGTCCTTTTCTTTAAATGGACTTTTAAGCTGTTATAAATTTTTCCTCTTACATCGATTAAGCCTGGTTCTCACTAGCGACGCAAACACAGGCAAGCTTTAGGTGAATATGCCAAGTGAAAACGGACGTCGAAAGCACAAACACTAGCATAAGAAAAAGGAGACATTTGATCTTCATGACTTTATGAGTACTTCTGTTTGTGCTTACGTCGAGGCCGTCTACACGGTGAAATAAGAGTTGTGTTGTTTGTGTCTTTAGTGACAATCAGACTAAAGCAGCAGAAGACGTTCCAACAATGAAACTAGGGTCTGTTAAGTCCTACTGCTTCATTTCAATAATTTAATTGATGTTTACGCTTTACAAAATGTCTTTCTAACTTAAATTTCTTGG